TTGCATGCTCAAATATGACAAAACTAACTGTAACCTTACCACCTCTTTGTAAGGTTCACTGAATCTGTGTTTAGATTACTTTTACAAGTCAGCAATTTGTGACAATTATACAAGTATATTTGTAGTTCAATGCAATCTTAAGAATCTTAAGTTAATAGAGATCTTACAGTATTTAAATATCAATAAACTAATCTATGAAATTGTTCTTAATTCCTTTATAGTATACAAACTTAAGAATTAATAAAATAGACAAGTTGTAACAAAAATATGACATGGTTACTTCAGGTAACTAAAATTTTAAGCTTATATCTGGCTAATAAATAATTTCAATAATTAAACCAAATTATGAAACATACAGTATTCATAATACATAAGCAATAATTTCCTAATAATAAATTAGGTCTATATGGTACCGTAAGTGTTTCATATTTTTTGTCCAATACACTACAGTATGGAATAATACAGATTGCTTTATCAACCCGCGATTCTGAATGGTCTGTGTTATGATGATACAGGGTAACTGTATTTACTATTATATTAATGTCATGGTTTTGTCTAAATGTTTTCTCGGTTATTTTTACTGTCCAGTATCATTACTTATTTAGTGAGTTATAAATATACGTGATTTTCAACGAAGCTAAATCAAGATAGAGTATAACTATCTCAAAAAATTTTAAGGATTTTTTGTGTTCTATATCTTTACATTAGTTGTAGTCTTAAATATACTAAAATAAGAAACACATTTCCTAACAACGTTAGTATAATTTAGCTTGCAATGATTATTTATAATACTATATAGTATCTACATTGTAGATTCTACATGTAGTATATTTTATTTAAAGCAAAAAAATACTTATACTGTATTAAGTTTTGTTTTAATATTTTATAAATTAGGAGTAATACAATCCTCAATTATCTTTGAGTCTCAATTTATTCTCAATATTTTAATATTCTGTAATTTCTTATCACACAATATTTGTAATTCTTTATTCTATTAACTCTTATATAAATATATATATATATATAATAATTTAAATTCATAGTATATTATCATAATTTACCTATATAAGAAAATTCTATGAATATAAAGAATATTATGTAAAATTACTTCCTGTCAATATATTTTATAGAAAATGTTGTCAACAATAATCTATGCATTAATGCTAAGCATTTCTCGACACTTCTCATCAGAAGACTAATTATTAGTTGTGTTTCGAGTTATTAATAGAAACCATAATTTTATTCGCCAATTGTTTCACTTCTAATTAACGATAGTGTTTGCCTTACAATAAAATCTCATAACATGTACTCTATAGTATGCATCGGAATAGTGAATACTGAACAAACTAATAGTCTGTTAATATTTTTGTTATGTTATCAATTATTCTTACATCAAACAAGAATTCTATTATCATGTGGAAAATGCCTGAAAATTTAGATTTGTATTATCACAAAGTAATACATTTTTACAGTATATTTTTGTGTCAATAAATGATTATTATTGTAAATAAAATTTTAACTACCGTAACCAAAATTATTATTATTATTTAATGAAATGCTAGAAATTAATTAAATTGGAATTAAGCTTATATACGATATATATATTTATAAT